CTCTATAAATATAATATATAAGTAATATTAAAGTTTTGAAGGAAATATTATATAGAATTATATTCAGAAGTAATTGAAATAGTGAGGATAGGACGAGAGTTTGACCGTTGTCCAATTATATTTCAAACTAAAATGGTTAGTTTGGGTGATTTTGAATCCCTAACTCTAAGTGTTATATAATCATCTATGTCTACTTAACGAAATTTTAGGGTCTATGAAATGAAGGTCAGTTTATTTATTTAGATTAGCTCAAAAGCTTTGGGAAAATCATCGACTTCGAAGCAACACTTAATGTGAAATAAAATTATATTGAACCACAGGAGGTGAAAAAAGCAAGCATTAAAAAAAATAATTTAGTATTATAAATAGAGCTGAGGCTAATATCATCAAAAATAATCTAATTGAAAGTCAAACCAGTCTGAATCTAATAATACAGTTTATGGAAAGATTTTCCATTTTAAAAATTTAAGACAAATTTAACTAAGTATTAATAAGAAAAAGCTTGTTTGCTATGCAGAATAGTCAATGAAACTAATTTATTTCAAATAATAGTAGTTTTAAGTTCAGCCTCTATTTTTCTTATTAATTTTAAGAGTAACAGTATATTCCCCTTTTTTAATTATCCCGCCTAAGTCGTATTAACAGATAAAGGACTGATAGTTTAATTCCCCTCCACGATATGACAAGATCTGACGTTTTCATTTAATTTTCATAACCTTGATTCTCAAAAGAATTCATACCCTATCTCTCATCAGCACCCCTAGCGAAAATTATACCTGGGTATTGTGAGGTTTAGTATCTACCCCTTACCAACGCGCCAAACAGCAAACAAGGCCATGTGAATTACGATGCTAATTGGAGCTCTACACATAATAGTTGCCAAGATATATCCATTAGTTCTATATCGCCTTATGGGATCTAATTCAAGATCTATTAACAGTTTTAAAACATACTCAAACATAATATAAATGCGAAGAACAAATAAGTTTTGATGAATCTCCTGAGATAAAACTTTTAGGTATACCATAATTATCTGTGAAATAGAATAAAGAAGAAATGCGAAGGTCGATCTTACCAGAATATGATGACCGATTCGCCTTTTACTGCCGCCGCTTGGCTTTAGCACGCCATATATATGTAGAGTTTTGAGACTACCAATAAATCAGTTGTATGAGATGTATTCACCCTATTTCGCT